GTGTTTATAACACTGCTATCGAACACCATTGATTGATTGCGGAGAGAACCTGGCAAGTTTGTGTTGAGATCAGCACCGCGCTGTGATGGAAAGAGACTGCACTGATGACTAGGGTACAATCTCCACAAAATGGCTATTGTGGTAGGCATGTGACCATGTTCCTTCAACTCGCCCGAGGTGGTCATGCACGTACAATGGTCAAGTCTCTTGTTACGCTCGGTCCATCTGAATTTCACGCTCATGGTCGACGTCAGCTATGTAATAAGGTGCAGTACATTGGGCAATGACGCAGTGTTTGTGCTAATTGTGATTGTTTCTTTGCGTGCTTTGTTCAAAGCTGCAAAAACACAAGCTGTATGGTAACAGCCTGTAAATAATTGAGTCTGGACCAGGCAAACCAGTGATTAATATCATAAGCACGTCACTAGGGTATGATGTCACGTGACCAACCGCTCTATTCTGTTGCCTCACACGATAAGGATACATTTGTAGCTACAGTCTATGGCTACAGTCGGTTTTAGCTGTGAATCCTTCTGGCTGCAGTCGATGTAGCGATGAATCCTTCTGGCTGTAGTCGTTTGTAGCGATGAATCCTTCTGGCTGTAGTCGTGTGTAGCGATGAATCCTTCTGGCTGCAGTCGTTTGTAGCGATGAATCCTTCTGGCTGTAGTCGTTTGTAGCGATACATGCATCAGGCTATAGTCTCTCTTTTCCAAGTCGCAGTCGCAAGATTGCATGGCGTAGTCGCGTGACGCGAATCAACGATAACGTTATGTGCTAAGTGCATGCAAATGGGTTTAAATCCAACGATGAATGAATTATTTATCTAATTAGGGTTATCAGCTTCCCTTGGTTGGTGTTGCATCGTTTTTCAGTGAACTTGTAATCCCAGATATTAGGGTGACCTAACGACGGACTCTCAGACTGTTAGTCCAGTGTTACTGAGTGCACCTCGGTTGAACCTCCACGAAATAGTCGACATGCTTGTACTGTTACAAGCACTGACGTACCGCAATATACGCTATGTGGGACGTACTGGACACCAAACACTGTATTTATTTCAGGGAGCAGGGGTGATCCTAGCCTTGCTCCAAGGCTGTACTGAAAGATACGTCCTAATTCTATCCTCCTTATAGGCAAGTCTAGATTGATTGGCAGTATTAAGGACTCCAGTCTCTTATGGGGACAACTTGTTATAATTATTTACATAACCTAGAAATTATGATTGAAACTAATAATCATTGCCTTAGAGACTTGGAAAAGTCCAGGGTGGTCCAGTCAACTCAGGAACCGCAATTTTCAGCGTTGAGTTAAGTAACCTAATTAGTATGATGATGGATGTTAAATCCGGTTAGGTTTTTAGGTTTGCCGGCCAAATACCCGTTCCAATCAATGGGTGGCCGTATCAATCCATAAGCAACATAATACACTTTTGTCCGAAATTACATCAAACTATCGATTTGTTTAATCTACATATTGTATATGTTAAATCCATAATTAGGTCATCCCCAGCGTGTGAAATGACGTCCAGTAACATAAACAACTGCAGTCTATAGTTTGTTATAAAGGACTGCTCTACACGGCTACTATAACGTAGACGTACAAAACTGAGAAAGGAACGTGAAACGATTGTACTTGCTGTTTGTTTGTTTGTTTGTTGTTTAACGCCGCACTCAGCAATATTTCAGCTTTATGACGACAGTCTGTAAAAAGTCGAGTCTGGACCAGACAAAAAACGTGATTGACATCATGACCATCGGTCCACTCAGACTGGATACGATGACATGAATCATCCAAGTCAGCGAGTCTGACCACCCGATCCCGTTAGTCGCCTCTTACGACAAGCATAGTCACCTTTTACGGCAATCATGGGTTGCTGAAGACCTATTCTACCCCGCATCTTCACGGGTTTGCAGTGTTGGAGAATGTTACTATTTGATGTGTTTGGTGTCAGCAATAGAACAGAAACTTCCAAGATGTTGGATACCATGGGTACTGAGGACATTTGTTGTTAAATATTTTAACGGTGTATGATGGTGAAGAATTAAATGATGTTATAGATAATACGTGTACCATCTCCTATGAGTCCTCACCATGCTACGTAAAGCCTTGAGAGTAAATACGTATTTTCCTTCTGGTGTTGAAGGTTAAGGGTGATAGGCTTTGAGTGTTGGTGATGCTGATTGAATGCTGCCCTCTGCTGAAGGTCATTACTTGGTTAAAATGAAGTTTTTGATAGGCATATAGAAGTTGGGAGAACATGAATACAAGGCACTTTTTGTGGATAGCACCTTCTTTTATATTCTGTGTGCGACGTTTCAGAGCTACTTCTTGCTCCTCCATCAGGCGAACAAGCAAACGATGAAGGAGCAAGCAGTAGTTCTGAAACGTCGTACAACGAAAAAAAGAATTACAAAAGAATTTGCTATCTATAAAAAAGTGTTATCTATTTGTGTTAAAAACGTGTGGTGTTACGGGTGAATTGAATACAACTAAGATTGTTGGAACAGAATGGACTTTCTGTCCCATGTTTTCGTTTCCAAAGCATATTTCCGTTCAATATTTGAGTTATACGGGAATCTGATGCGTGGGACTTCTGTATATGAGCTCTGGCATGTCAAGATTGATGATATGTATGCATGGATGTGATTTATGGAAAGATACGTTATTGAATAGAAATTATCAAAACGTCATTTTGCGCCTTGTTACCTGCCAACATCCTGCAGTATCCTCCCTCGGTGGGATGCAGGTTATGAAGTATTCCTTCGATGAACACAGACTTGGGAAACGTAATATTAGCGTGTTATACAGCCATGTGTTGTGTGCATATATACACTTCCAGCACCAGATCTGTTCATTCCCCAGAAACACGAACTGTGTGCTTGCATACAGACGTAATCGATATCGATCAAGTAAATGTTTCTTCTTCTAAGCTCAAAATGGTGTGGGATAGCCTTGTTAGTGGTAAAATCGTTTGCTCGTCACGTCAAAGACCGGGTTCGAGTCCCACATCGGCACAATGTGTGAAGCCTATTATTATGGAAGTCTTTTGGGGCCATTTGTTTTATATTTTTCTGTTGAGATTTTAAGATACTACGTTGAAATTTCAAGATAGATACTAAGTTGAAATTTCAAGATATATACTTAGTTGAAATTTCAAGATAATCATCTTGAAATTTCAAGATACTAAGTTGAAATTTCAAGTTATTATCTTTCAATTTCAAGATGATTATCTTGAAACTTCAACTTATAATGTATCTTGAAATTTCAACTTATAATGTATCTTGAAATTTCAACTTAGTATCTTGAAATTTCAACTTAGTATCTTGAAATTCCAAGACATAAATATATAGAAACAACTGGCCCTAAAAGGTTTCCGTATATTATAAGGATATGCATGTGACTTAAATGAACACCCACTTCATATTGAAAACATTTCTGTATTAATACTTATGCCTGACATTTTATTTCATAAATATGATATGAAACTCTTCTTTCAAGTCCAAATTGTACATAGCATGTTTGGTTTAAGGGAACTAAAATAGTTTATTGTTTCAATAAATAATATAAAACACCAACTAACGTTTACATAAAATCGATAATCTTTTTCAAGAAATGCGACAGAACCTTTCCAGGTCCAAGTAAGATATCTTAAATGAAGGAATCATAGTGTGATTTCGACTATATAATAACCATGTGCATGTATATCACTTTGAAATAGTGATGAAAACAGGTGATCGGGTAAACGTGAGATGTTCCTGTCCCACCTGTGACACCCGTCACACAAAAATGCAAAGTGATTTCAGATGTTAACCTGAACAAGAAGTGAATATACGGTACAAGTTAAAATAGAGAACTGCATCCGACAACTTTTTGGTCACTACCGCGTCACATTTGGAAAACGTCACCTAAATCCGTTTTGATCTTTGGTGGGGCCTCAAAAGGTCTGCCTCTGATCAAATAGCGTTAGCATTTCAAATCTTTGAACAACCGGTATGCTCGATTGCACCTCAACCCTGTGAAAAGCACAAAAACGGCAGTTATTTCAAAAACTTCAAAGTATATCCCCCGCTATACGATGATGGTACCTGTCATATAAATATTGCTATCTGTTATATGTACACATAGGTGTGTACCTGAAGGATATCATATAATCGGGATCATGCTGGATGTCCTTGTTTCGTGTAAAAAAATGTGTTCGTCTGCTCAATTCCGAGAAGTGCTTTACCCCCACACACACTCGCACACACACACGCGCACACACATACGCACACACACACGCGCGCACACAGGCACATACAAAGGCGCACACGAAGGCACACACATGCATACTCAGTCACACTCACACACGCACAGACACGCGCACACACACACATACGCACACACACGCACACTCACACTCACACACGCACACACATATATTCTGAATTACCTTCAGTGTAAGAACAACTGATTCACCATGATCATATTTGATATAACACTCGATCTTTATAGAGTGAAATCCAAGATGCTCAAGTATTATCCTTGTACACCCGTGTTCAAGCGTCACACCAGGGTGGGGTGAAACTGTTGAACTTGACAACATATTCACTCGCCAATACAAATTCTACAACCTAAGCCAGGACATCGTGTTGGTGTGCCTATTTATATATTAGGTAATTTGGGAAGTCCACTTATAATGCCACTCCTTCATCGACGTTTAACTCGAGATCTCCACCTACTCACGACCAACACAGACGACACATCAAATACACGACCATGTGGATGTGACACCGATTAAGTACAACGTAAATATTGAATACAACGACTCATCACAGACTTTTAGACAGTTTGGTTTGACTTGGCGGTCTCCCGCCCTCCTCCAGGTGGAGTCGGCTTCTGTGCTTGGTCGATTCCTCTCGTCTGGAATAGCTCTGCCCGTAACGCCTTCGTTACCAAGCGCTGATTGATTCAATTCTCTTTTCACCCTTACTCGTAAACATTCCACTCAAACTCTATCTTCCTCGTTCTGTGCTGAGAGACTTTATCTCATAGAGAATGTTCAACCCGCTAAATAAATTGAAGGACCCCAACAGCCTCATCATCAATCGGTGTTAACATTTCAACGAAAATCAAACTGGCATTTGTAAATGCTATGAGTCGCTGAAGTAACACCCCCGCATAAAAACTTGGACTCGCCTATTCTGAGATACGAACGATTCGCGCGAGTAACTTAGATCAGTCGCCACTTTGGTCCGACTTAAAAGGTCGCTGCTGTGAGGCATGGCATTTACAGGATCGCATCAGCAGCACGTTGTATCATCGGACTACACTGCTCATACAGTTAAGCCGAGCAGTCGACGCTACAGAAAAGTGACTTAATTATAGGTGGCATAAAGTGAATCTTCGACTTAACGTTAAGAGAGGCAGCCAGGGAATGCTCTCTCACCTGGCGACGGAGCTATGCATACGGGATAAAAGGGGTACCCAAAGGAGTCGATACCTGTGAGGGAATACCTGTGTTGCGTTCCATGTGAAATTGATGTCTGTGTTGTTGTTGATGATGATGATGATAATGATGATGATGATGGAGGCGCAGAACTCACTCTAGGGAGTCACATCAAGATGGAATTACACTTTGATGGGCTGATATTTGTAATGTATGCTTTGGAGCAAGTCACAGGTATGTTTGTCAATATAATTTATACACTTATCTTACTCATCACATTTTGTGACAAATATTGTTTACCTTTTGGAGTGAAAACCCGGGTTCCAGTCTATTAAGTTCTATTAAAGGTTATGTGTTTGTTTTGTTAACCTCATAATTGTCACGTGTATAGCTACTACCACTCAGCCTGTTACAGAGATAAGTCAACTGTGTGTATGTAACACCTTCAAACTCCACAAGCTGTCGCCCAGCAAATGTACGGAAGAGGACGGGCTTGAACAATATGTTAAAAAAACCGAGAACTGATCAAACACAATAAGAGACACAGTGACTCACTCAACCAAGGGCAGATCCAGCTGTTGTTTAAAAAATATCAAAATCCTCTCAAATGTGCTGCCTATTACGTTTGTTTTTTGAAAAAGCGGGCAGGGTCGGGTGGGGTGTGGTGGGGTGGGGTTGGGTGGAGTGGGGTTGGGTCCGGACCACCTGCCACCCCTCCCCCCTCTTCCTCCCCCCACCCTCCACACACACACGCATACACACGCACACGCACATACGCACGCATACACACACTCTCTCTCTCTGGATCCGCCTGTGTCATCCATGGCATGCGTGCCAGAAGACCATAGTTTAGTATTCTGGCTACTGTATTAATTGTCAAGTGTATGGTATCCTACTTTCCATAATGAAATTCTGACAGAACGGATGCTGATAATCGTCTAGGTTCTACGGAACTCCTTGTCATTCTCCTAAATACGATAGGCGTGCATTACCATACTCAAGCCCTCCACCCTTCTGTCAGGTTGCTTCAACCCTCATCATTAAGGTGACTGCGAGAGTACTTTAGCCTAATATTGAACTACAGATCTCCACAAGTAATCGAGAAATCGTTCAGAGGGTGGGGGACCGTTTCCTTAGGTGGTCGTCAAGCGTTAAGGCGATGGTGTTAGCTAATTTCTACGTCGCCAGCAACACCGATAGCGGATTTTGAATGTGACCAGATAATTTCCTATCTACCCCACGAAGCCCAGACATGTGAAGTGTCTCTTTTATATAAGAGCACATCAGTTATGTTCATTTTGTATTGTGTTTAGTACCGTGATCTTATTAGTCCGGTCTAGTGCTGAAATGATAGGATATTCTCACATTCACGCTCCAAGTGCGAGAGTTTATCTCTAATACTAATACCCCATTATCACTTATACGAAAATGCCGAACTAATATCAAAGATAGCAGTAATGTGAAATAGGTAAACTTTGCAGCGGAGTCCTATATCGCAGCCTCCATACCGCTGATACCTCCACTCGCTTACCCTTGTACACCGTGCAGTAACAAAATATGACAAGGGAAACGCCATCGTCACTGCCACACGGGGCGTTCATAAAATGCTCATCAAGTATATTATAGCTTCTATCTTACACCCGTTGTCGCCCTACAAGCCACGGGGCTCCACGATGGGGCAATAATGTCAGAGAGAAAAGCTTTATTGTTCATTTATGTTTTCTGAAGAATCGAACATATCACCAAGAAGACCATTTGTGTTGGTATTTCATTACGAACCACATTTGGTAGACATTATTTATACACCAAGGGAAACAGTGTACTGTTATAAATCCGTAAATTTTCCGACTCAGTATTATATTTGACAGAGTGTATTAATTCAAGTTTAAATATATCATTCAACAAATAATAATGTATTTGATTAAATATTAATACAAATATTTTGTATTCACAATGATGTGACCATATTATAAATAATTTTCTCAAGGATAAATGAGCAACTGTAAATTTGTGGTAAAATAGCGTCACGAACATTTATTGTCGTTCTGAATGTGACATATAGCATAAACTCGATGTCTTCAAATACGCTCGGCATAGATAGATGGCCGAATACTGACGGCACAGAAGGATGGGATCATACAGAGAAATCCTCTATAAGCTCGCAGACCATCAACCACGATGAAATATAAGGTCCAGCTCGCGTGCTTCTGTCGAAACCATACATCAGTTTGTCAGGCTTACAGTCTTTGTTATTCATTAATGGCGCTTGCTTCCTGCAAATGAAAAAAACATATCTGTCTAATGTGTGCAGATTGAGTGAAGATCAGGGTAATGAATGGGTTGTAGTCGGGATTTACGTTCATTTACAATTTGTCAAGTCGCTATGTACTTGATTAAGAACAAAAAAACGACGGCCAAGTTGGAATTACGGGCCACTGGGAGGTTTTCATCTTAGTCCGGGATGACCGAAATAAGCCGTGACAAGATGAGATGGTCATAGATAATCTACTGTGTGCCAGATACAGGGATCCAGGAGTGAGGTATGTACCCTCTCCGTCAATAGATGTACACACTCACATTGATGAACAATGCATCTCACGGTGTTCGAAATTCACTGAATGTTAAACCTACTTTCATATGCAACAAAACCTTCATTTAAATGTGATTTGTTTAGATTAGTAGAGGAACAGTATGATTAGTGTCAAGGGGCAGTATATCACCTGGTTTGGCGAGTCCCTTATCGGCGTCTTGATGTCGGGTATAATTACCTAATTTCACAAGGTTCGGTTTGAACTGACACACTGAGCTAAGAATTGCCAATGAGGATACTTATCAGTGACATGCTGACTTATTAACGGATATTCTACCATGAATTTGGAATTTACTCGATTCTGATTGGTCAATCAGAGGCTATTAAATCACAATAAACCCCCTGTGATTGAAACATCTGGTTTGACGGCCGCATCACCGCGGAAGTTAATATTCATTCGTGTTTTTCTGCACGAAAAGTATTGCCACACATCCTTTGAATATTTAAGTAACCGCATCTGTGCATTTTGTAACCTGTATTTGTAGATATAATTATTTAAATATGCCTACCGACAATGCCTGAAAATAGTACTATTCTATGAATATTAACTTATTAACGGATATTTCATAATTGATTGGAAAGCTACACGCCAGGTAGGTTCAACTTACGCTTGTGCTCGCTTGAACCATGTCTAGATGAGGCTATTTGTAATGTGCGTTCTTGCTGTTCTGTGCGGTGGTCCTTTATAACTGACTACTGAAATTGGTGTCGAATTATCCACTGGTTCTATGTAAACGAATATGGTGACAAATAAAACACAGTTGAGCTGGTAGATGACATCATTGTATGTATATGTGCGGCTTGCCACACCTCCAGATGTATTCCCTGAAGAGGCCCAGCTCCTTGTTTCCACGGGGCGTTAAGTGAAGCGACTTTATTAACCAGCACCAGAACCAACACGAGCACTGAACACATGTAGAACACACGGGTGAGCTGTAATGAACCGGAGACGATTAATCATAGAATTACGAGAAGATTTAAAGCCGCTCTCCCTTCTCGAGGGTGATGTGTCCTGCAGAGAATACACATGCGGATAAGCTGGCTCTCTGTTTCAGAATAGAGTAAAACACTACGATCAAATCAAATTCTGCCTGTGAAAGGTTGACACACCTCCACACCTGCTCTTCGCCTTTGGCGGTGAATGAGGATATGGTGGTCACACTCAAATCCCCGACAATACTTCGAAATGTTGCAGGGGAGACACAGTAGCTGATCGTGTTTCACGAAAGGCTGACTGATGATCTTGAGTTGACAGATAATGGAGACTGGTTATTCTCTGGCGTTGATTTGCAATCACTGTATCCTCCTGGTCCATGCAGCTGACTGTGATGGGGTGATGTTCACCACTGGGAACTCCACCAGCCATTGGCCCAGGCACTTCTTGACTTACATTGCAGTTGTTAAATATTACATTGGAACTCTTCCAACGCCAGTGATAACTACCTTTCTATAAAGCTGGGCCACATCAAGGACACGTGAGTTAAAACAAATATGAATTTTGTCCGTCATTCAGTACTTTCTAAACGTATCTGCTCGCAACATTAGTCAACCAAGAATATTCTACCCGACTTGAAGCATTCGCCGTGAGCGTGAATATACTCTATGACTCTCCCGTCGGGGACAACCCTCCGTGTGTCTGTGTGTATTGTCCCCAGTCGGTATCCTCAGTCAGGGGTGGTGGGGTACACTAGTGACTAAAGCGTTTGCTCCTCACGCCGAAGACCCAGGTTCGAATCCCTATATGGGTACGATGTGTGGACATTTTAGGTGTCATTGCTGGAATGTTGCTAAAAGCGGTGTTAAACAACAAACAAACAAACAAAAACGTAAACCTTGTTGCTTTCTTTATGTACGTACATCCGTACAGATGTTTCTGTTGCCATGATGAGGGACAGGGGCCTCGTGTCTAAATAACAGAGCATGTATGTCGCCTCCTCAACAATGGCGTTTGTGTCCACACGTTTTGTCTCAATAATAACATGGACATTCAAGAAAAAAACTATGTGAGTTTCACTTTGATATCAACATCGGCAGTTTGGATCCATGTTAAAACCTTTCTAAATGATTTAAGACAACAAATTGTATCACCATGTCTTAATGTTGTAAAAAGTGGAAGACAATATGTGAAATACAGTGCAACTTGAGATGTGACTATGCTTTATTTGCATAAAAGGTTTCTTTAAGTGAATGCCTGGTAATTATTCCAGGCTGAAGAACAGAGGGCTGATTGTATAGACGATGATTCACAAGTGTTTGCAGAGAGTAAAGACATTATTATCCTAGGAGAAGTTAACGGTTGTGTGTCTGTCCCTACAAAGTGAACTATTTAAGTCAAGTGTCTACGGTATCAAGTTGTTAATGTCACTTTTAAAAGTTTTACTGTTTTTTAAGAAATAATTTCAAATTTCGATGCGACTCTTTTATGCAAAAATGTATTGATTTTCTTTTGGGCAAAAATTAAAGCATTAGCTAGTCGTCAGCCGCTTCGCCAATCGTGTTTAAATTGCTATCATTGATAGTTTGAACCTATATATGTAATGTTGTAAGATAAGACTCCAGGTGTATCGTCGGTAATTACTCTAATCCTGTCAAAAGTTCATTGTGTCGGTTGTATGATTGATACAGTCGCGAAACAGAAAGGGGA